GGTATTCGAGTAGAATGGACGTCGTAGTGTTATTATTCGATAGTAATTAAAAATTTGATTTTCGTGTGTTACTGACTTTTACATGTGAGTTCGTATCGAGTTTCTATCCTCGTTGGGATGGGTCAGTGTGAAAATATATGCAAATGGTCAACATCATGTGTTGGTGATGACAATATGAAAATTCTGAGAGGAAATTTCGGCGGAATCGTTGTAAACCTCTGTAATTAGTGAGGAAGTTCCTGAGCTCAGCTGAGGAGAGCGAGCATATTATTCCAGTACTGTGATGGGTGAACGATTTTGGTTATTTTTATATGTAGGTGGTCATTGTGGTAACCACACATCTCGATGCTGGTCATGATCCTGATGTCAAGTTAGCTCAATTGGTAATGGATTGTGAAACGACGATTATGGGTGAAATTGTCCCGAATTCGGAATTTTTCCCTCAGAAAGTTGTCGTCGATGTTGTGGCCTTTCTGGAGAAGGAGTGCTCATCGAGGGGACTTCATGTGGCTGCAGCAGCTATGACTGGCGATTGGAACATTGATGGCACTGGCAGAGATCATGGGGCGCGCGCTAAAGTAGTAGAACAAATGTAAATTAGCAAAATTGTGGTGCAACTACTGTACACCATTCCATTCCGCCAATAGTGAGTTCATAACGTTAAACAAGATTTGTGGTTGAAGAGATTTGTAACACCGCATCAGCGTATAAACTATCTCGGCACTTGGACGAGTTGAAATGAGTGCGGGAGAAGGGCCTTGTATGGACTTTACCTTCTTATAAGGACAGAGCTTTCGAAATGCATCATTTGTAGATTCAGACTTATATGTAGCAGTAGTAGTAGTAGTAGTAGTAGTAGTAGTAGTAGTAGTAGTAGTACATGGTCAGGCCTTGTCGTCCACATCTCGTACAGTATGCACTACTTCAAGATCGTCTGATGAGGAGGAAGAAGAGGGCAGCCCCGTCGGCGTGAATCAGAACTCTGGCGTCTACGGAAGGGTCCAGAGTTTCCTGGCTAAGTCGGGCTTCCAGGATGTGTGGCAAATGCACGCTGAGAAGGAAAGTCTTCCTCGTGCGCCGAGTTACGAGGGCGACTGGGGAGAACTTAGTGAAGAAAGCCTGGTGAAGTATGGAGTTACGAGTGACCAGGTTGGTGGAATTTCGTGGCGCGTGACGGAATAATGTCTGGTTAGGACGTCCCATCGTGTCCGAAGCGATTGGATTATCTATGGGTTAAAAGTGGCGCTGAAGGTAGGCGTGATATGTCGAAGTTATGGTATGGAGTTGTATGTGAGTGTTTAGATGTAACATCCGAAAGTCGTCCGCCAGCTGAGAGCAGTCTCAGCTCTATCAGTGCTAGCAGTAGCCGGTCGAGATCTCAAGAGGTCCTCAAATTGGCTCATCATTCGGTCATTCGATCTCGCTCGAGCTGATTAGGGGGGGTCAATTTATTTTTCTGAATGCAGAGGTGTCCATGTGAGCGATGATTTGTATGTACTACAGGTTATGATGGTGACGATCGCGCCCGCCCAGTTGTGGCGAGCAGATGTACCTCTGAGAAGTGCATGTGCTAA